CCGTCTGCCCTGGACGCCGAAGGCAGAGCCCCCTCAGCATCCAGCTAGGTGAAGCCCTCCCAGGCAGGAACGTGCACAGCGGGCCCTGGCTCCTCTTTCCAGGACCTGCCCTTGTTTCCGGCCCGAGTTGCTGGTTTTTACTGAATGGGATGAACTGGGGGACCTGACACAGCCCCTTCGTGGGGGGGTCCCAGAGCTGGGGGAGGGGGGTGCACGGGCGTCCATGCAGGGGCACTGCCCCAGCTTACACCAGATGCCACTGCTCATGGCGTTCAGGTGACAGGTGCCGGCACACCGCTGGGGGGCCCTGCCCGCCCGGGCCCTGGGGCTGCCACGTCAGAGACCGAGAGGCACGTGAGCTGGGACAAACCAGAAGTTGGCCCCTCAGTTGGAATTGGAAGCACAAGCGACTGCCCCTCTCTTGCACTTCCCGCCTGCCTGGACGCCCGAGCTGCGGCTCTGACTAACCGGGCAAGCAGCGCGCTCAGCCCCCCCCAACCCCACACACAGGGGCGAGCGGCTGGGCAGTCCCCACCTGTTCTCAGGTCTCCGGTAATCGAGCCTGCAGGTCCCGCTGGTGAGGCTGAACACGGGGTGAAACGCACACTCCAGGCTGTACAGCGCTCGCTCTGCACACAACACAGGCACCGTTGGGGCAGGGCACAATGGGGGAGTCCTGTCCTGCCCCCGGACACCACTGACAAATGCTGCTTGGGGCTGTGGGCCTTCCTAGCAGGGGGCTCGGCCACAGCAGGGACCAGACTCAGCAGAGAGCCAACAGGGCGAGGGAGCCCGATTCCTCTGCAGATCGGAGCCCAGGGGAACGCACAGGGCACGGCTGGATCCGTGCTGCACAGAGGACTGTGCGTGAGCCATCTTTCCTCTCCACCGAGGTCTGGAACAACAATCTGTCGGTAGGAGGCCTGGGGGAGGGGATGAGCCAGCTGCTCCGCTAGCTTGGGATTAGGGATGCAAGCGTGTACCTGGTTAACCGAGAAGCACCTGCCTCTCGGTTTGTTACGTTAACCTCTGCCCTGCAGGCGCCCTGGCTCCCACTTCCGCTCCCGGCTGCGGCCCCGCGTCGCTGGCTCTGCGGTAGAAGGCTCACCAGCCAGGAAGACCAGAGCCACAGTCTCTGCCACGGGAAATGAAGGCGGCGCCCCTCACGGCGGAGGACGCTCCCCGGGGGCTGCCGAGGCACCCGCTCCTCGCTCCCAGGCTCACCTACGAGGTCTCGGGCCATCTCCTGATCCTCCTGCATGCGGCACACCTCGCTGAGCTGCAGCAGCGAATCCACGTGGTAGGGGTTCATCTGGAGCAAAAGCTGCCGGCAGACAGAAGCGGGCTGGGTTGGAGGCAGCGCAGACACCCCACGCTGCTTCGCTGGGCCTGGGAGCCTCACGCTGCGAGGGGGCAGGTGGCAAAGGCTGCCCCGGGGGAGGGGGCACGGGAAGATGCATCTTCCGGAGGCGTCAGCAAGGCCCAGCTGTGTCACCCCTGCTGCCGGGGCTGGAGGTAACGGGAGCAGCTCCCGAGCCAGCACGCGGCTCAGTACTCTGGAGCAGGGCCGGGATAGCCCCTGCGGACAGGAGACCCTCTGGGACGCGCCACTCTGCCTTGCACAGAGGGGCCCGCCCAAGGTCACCCCTTCGGTCGGCTCCAATGGTCACGGCCGCGGGAACTGCTCACTGGGCACCTGGCAGCTGCAGCATCTGCCTCGCTGCCCCTTAAGGCCCTGGCGTGGCCCCCGGCCATAGCAATCGCGGGCCCAGCGTCCGCCTGACGGGAGGACTGGCTCCCATTGCTAGCTATTGAAAAGCACTATCCGTAGGGCCCCCCCAAATAAGGGGGGTGCGATCGATGGGATCAGGTTAGACGCAGGGCCTAAGAGTCGGCAGGCCTCCCTAACGTCGCCAGCACACAGACAGCGCGGCACGGGGAGCCACCCCGGCGTGCTGCAGCTCACCGACGCGGTGAAAAGACAGACGAAAGCTGCAGGAAAGGCATGCACCCTCCAGACTGACACACCACTGACTGACGGGGGGCCGAGGACTAGAACTCGTGACACGGGGGTCAACGCGGCTCTGTGGTGCTACGGGCGAGGCCCAGGCCCAGCTTTCCCGGCCCGCGTAGGGAAGAAGGGCCTTGTACCAGTTCGCAGTGACCCCGGTGCTGGTCCTGCCGCGAGGGCAGGGGACCGGACTCGACGACCTCTCGGGGTCCCCTCCAGTTCCAGTGCGCTAGGGGGCTCTAAGCAAGCGGTCCAGCTCAGGAGAACAAGCTGAGCAACCACGACCGGGGACAGGCACGCGAAAGGGGATGAAAACAAGAAACCAGAAGGAACCTAATTCAGTGGCCAATGCCCCCTTTAAAAGAAGGCGCGTCAAGGCACGCGTGTGCTCGTTTAGGGCAGGGGTTGCAGCGAAAACATGTTTCAATTCTACTGCACCGGGGCCAGAACAATCCACTGCACGCTCGTTACTGTGTGCTATAAATGGGGTTATCTGCCTTAATTAGCTTGGACACACTCAATAAAGCCTCAATGCCCAGCCTGTCCCGCTAACATACCAGGGAAAGGCTACACATTTTTTCTTCCATTCAATTTAGTTTATAAACAGAATGGTTGTTATTTTAGACCCTGCCCTTAAAGGGCACTTTGTGCTGGGCAGTATTTTTACTTTCCCAGCTCGAGAGAAGACAACAGAGCCTTCTTTGGGCAGCCTGCTCTCCCGGGCGATCTAGAACCAAGCCATCCACTGACTTAATCACAGGGCCTCAACTCTGCCTGGGGCCACGCTGGCAAGTTGTCAGAGCCCCAGGGCCGCACCCCCCTGCCTGACCTGGAGCAGCTAGAGCCGCTCTCAAAGAGCGGTGGTCCAGGGAGATGCCCCGTCTCCCCAAGGAATACCCCCTCCCGCTTGGGCCAAGCTGCCGGCACGCAGGGGACGAGGGACGGAATAGTGGAGTTCATTAACTGATTAACCAATGAGCAAAAGCTTCTAGGTTAATGCTACAGACCCCTCGCGTTTCCTCCCTACCCCATGTGACGGCGCGTTGGGGGTTCCCCGTCTCCTGCACCCCGAAATGGCACAAACAGACTGCACCAGCCAGTGGAATTGAGGGTGGTTTATTGCTCCTCCAGCACAGCGCAGCACAGATGTAATCTGGTTACAGGAACTGGGGCTAAGAGGCCTCAGTGCCCCCCCTTGGGATAGGGGAGTCCCAGCCCTCTCCCCAGCTCCTTATATGCTGCCTTCCAGATAGGAACTAACTAACCCTCTTCCAGCCCTGCCCCCCAGCCAGGGCAGCATCCACCTTCCTTTGTTCCTCTCCATGGGGGGTGTCTGGCCACTGGTTCAACAAGTTTGGCATTACCTCTGCCTAGTGAGGTTTTCCCTGCTGGGTCTTGCTCCAGACAGCAGGGGTCACCACAGCCCAGCAAGTACCCCCACTACGTCACACCCCACCAGCACGTTTTTAGCAGGCTGGTCAGCAGCCCGGCTCAGTTCCAGCTCGTGCAGGGTCCAGGAACTCAGACCCCCCTCTCCCCCTGCTCTCCAGACAGGGGCTGCGGCCGCCCTGCACTGCTGCCGCTCTATCAGAGGCAGGAGCACCAATGGGGAG